GTTCTGGCAAGGGAAAGTAGACACAGCCACTGTCCCGTCCTGAGCCTCGCAGGGTCCCACTTGGAAGAGAGGTCTGCTTGGCCCAGCCTCACCCCGGCGCTGGCCCTTGCCCTGCGCACCCTGCCTCGCCCCTGCTCCCAGACTCCCAGGGCCCGCACTGGCCGGGGCCACTGGCTCTTCTGGGGTCTGGTCTCCCCAGATACCAGGCATCCCTGAGGCAAGGACAGAGTTTCATAGGCACAGCCGTTTTGTTTTCTGAACCAAAGGGCGTGACTCATAGACTATAGGACCATTTTTTAAAAACCCTAGGTACATAAGCACGCTGCTCTTAATCTCTGTGTCTCCCCTCGCCGGCACCGTCTGGCCCAACGGCTTGCTTGAGGTGCATGTTCTAGAAATACTCCACCTCCTTCCAGCCCTGCGGCCCCGTATCCACAGCCCCTGACCACCCTTCTAAAATATTCCCCTCACGTAGCTCTTTATGAAGGGAGGATGTGACCCTGAGGGACGCGGCCCTAACAGAGGAAGGAAGCGGGGGCCGAGACAGAGGAGCATCTCTGACCAGGACCCCTGCCTTCTGTCCCTGCCTCACCCAGCTGACCACTCTGGTCTGAAGAGGAGAATGGAGCTGGAGCTACGGGAAACCACAACCTTGCCCCATGCTCTTTGCTTATTAAGTGTGTGATTGGGGGCGCCTGGGGGGCTCCGTCAGCTAAGTGTCTGCCTTCGGCTCAGGTCATGATCCCAGGTTCTGGGAGCAAGTCCCCCATCGGGGCTCTCTGCTCAGTGGGGAGCCGGCTTCTCCCTCTCCCTCTGCCCCCCCCCTGCTTGTGTGCCCCTGCCCTCTCTCACAAATAAATTTTTTAAAAAACAAAAAAAAGGTGTGTGACTGTGAGGTCTAATGTAAGACTTTCAGGCTAACACCCTGACACTCACAAATGAGGAGGGAGAAAAGTTTCGATCCACACAGTGCTGCCCACTGCCCTTGAGTTGGGAGTGGCCCAGGCCCACGGCCAGCGTTCCTGGGGTCCCACAAGCTGTATCCACCACACCAAGGACTGTGTCAAGCCTACTCCCAGCTAAGCTTTGGGAGTAGAAAGACAGCTCAGAGAACCCCAAACCCTAACCATTCCGGACTTTGCTCCCTAAGTGAGGAGCCCTGTGAGAACTAGTCAGGGAGAGGGAAGAGATGGAAATCAGGTGTAGGGGCGCTGCGCCTCTGCCCTCTCCCCCTGGCCCACCCACCCTCCTCCCCACTTTCTTAGGGTCTTGTTTCTCTGACTCCTCCTGCCCTCGATAACATGTCCCAGCCCCTACCTGACCTCTGGCAGCCCCGCAGGCCAGACAGAGCTGAGCACCCGGGACAGTCAGCCGCTGGCCTCAACAGCCCTGGGTTTCGGTCCCCAGTGGGCCACCCCCCATCTTCTAGTCAAATGGGAAGGCTGGAGATAACCATCTGGATAAGTGCTTCTCCGAAGCTTTTTCTGAAGGAAGGAGATCAGAGTGGGATAGTGGGGGTGGGGGTGGGGGGGACCTTACTCTCTCCCTCCCTCCCTCCCTCCCCTGGGGGCCAGGAGTCAGGCTCTGCCACCCACCCACGCCCAGGTACCTGCTCCTCCCACCTGCCCCCTTTAGCCACCAGCCAAGGCGGAATGAGGCTGGATGGTTAGGCTGTTCTATCAGGCCGTCCTAGGAAGCCTTGGCAGGGCGGGGTGGGGGGTGGGAGGGTGGACATGTACATTAGAGCCTTCCCAGAAATCAGGAACAAGAGGACCACTTGTCCTCCAAAGGGCCCTCACACCCAGAGCCCCCAGCCCTCCGCCAATGTTCTCCTCGACCCGTCCTTGTTTGATTCATCCTTGAGCAACCAAAAGGCCCCACCCTCACGCCTGCTCACCTCTACCCAGCCTCCTGACTTCTCCCAAAGCCTGTGGGCGCTCTGACCCTTGACCCTGGGTCTTGGCCACAGCAGCCCTGCCTCCCACCCCCAAGTTCTAGGTCTCAGCCCTCCAAGTGCCTCCTAGCCACCCCCAGGCCCCTTCAGTCCACCACACACAATCCACCCTCTTTTCCCACCACAAAAGCTCTTCTTAAGTCTCAAAGGGTCTCTAGGTACTGAGAGATGTCCCTGAACTTCCATGCCTCCTGGCCACTGTCCCTCTCTAGAGCTTGGCCCATTCCCAAGCCTGAATTTGGCCTTTCCTGTGTCCCTTCCATACACCTCAAATTCGTTCACTCATTTCTCATTTATTTCCTTCTTCGTCTGTCAACTCATTCATTCACTCACTCATTTCCTTCTTCATTCATTCATCTGCCCCAAGCGCCTTCAGCACACAGGGAAGGTGTGATCCGAAAGGGCTGGTGACTTGTCCCTCTATTTACAAGGCTGTTTCCAATGTAGACCTCCAACGTCAACATCCCCGTTCCATGCTCCTCTTCTCACTCCTTTCCAGCTTCCGGAGGCCAATGTCTGGCACAAGTGCCCCTGCCTCCCCGTCTCCACCCACGCAGGACCCTGCACCTGAGTCACACAGCCACACACAGAGGCCCCATCACCAGCCATCCAGGTCTCGGAAGAAGCCTGTTCCTCCGGAGCATTTTTCAGACGAGTGGGGCTGGACTACGGCATGGACACTCACGCCCTCCACCCCTGGTCTCTCCACGGACAGAGGACAGAGGAAGGCTGAGCCACTGCCCCCCCACCCCCCCACCCCACCTCGTCTCCAAGCACCCCTGCCCTCACCCCAGCTGCCCAGCGGGGCCCCAACCCTTCAGAGGGCCAGTCGGGTGGACCTGCCTGGGTCCTGAGGTGGAAACAGGCCACCTCAGTGCCTGCCTCCTCTCCCGGGCTCGCTGGCTCTCGCTGGGCCCTTCCTGGTGCCTCCTGGACCCCATCACCTCTCCCAGGACACAGCTCCCAGGGCCTGGTGAGGCCTGTGTCCAGGTCGGACCACCTCCCAACCCCCACCAACCCGCATTTGTCCTTTTTCGGTGGAGGGAGGGTCGGAGCCGCTGTGACAAAGCTCTCTGCCTTGAGGCCCGGGCCCTGGAGAAGAGCCCCGTCAGCCTCCGGGTTGGGGAGGGGGTCTCCCCACCCCATCCACTCCTCTGAAGGCCTCTCCGGCCCCCAGCCCCACCAGAAGCCTCCATTCCCAGACCAGCCTGTGGGAAAATTAACGATTAACCGAATCTTCCAACCAGTGCCTGGCAGGGCGCCCTCCCCAGGCTCCCTTCACTGCCCCTTCCCCTGGCCCCAAACGTTTGCCCGGCCTCTCCAGCAGCCCCAGGCCTCCCAGGACAGGCTGGGGGTGCTCACCTGCCTCCTCGGACTGCCTCCTCTCCCGCAGGGCTCTGGGGCCTGGGCTCTGGCACTGCCAAGCGGCTCTCCCCCCGCTCAGCCGGCCAGGACTCCTCCCCGCCTCGCTCCCAGAATCTGTCCCACTCCCTCCAGCCGAGCCTGGCTGAGCTGGCTCGGTGGGGAGGTAGTCACTGAGCTCCCTCTTGACTTAGCCCTGGGGTTGGGCCCTTGTTAAAGGGATACACACCTTTTTTAGCACCCCCCCCCCCCCCCCCCAAAGGGAGTGCACCCCGCACAACCGCACCCTCCCCACCCTGCAGCGCTGGAACGAAAGAATCTAGTCGGTGGAGGAAGGAAGGGAAGGGCCGTCACCTGCCCAGATCACAGGGGTCACTGGGAGCCCAGTTTCAGGGTCCCCCAACAGTTGTCTGCGTTCCAGGCCAGTCTGGCCGGCCCCAGAAACTTCCTTGCTGTTAGGGTTTCAGGAGCAATGCCTGATTTCTGTGGCCCTAGTCAGAAGCGGCAGTGGAGCCTGGCCCCTGGTCTTCCGACTCCAGTTGCGACCTCCAGGAGCTGACACTCATTCCCAGGACCTGCCATGGGCAGCAGGAGATTCTCGTGGGAACACCCCGCCACCACCCCTTCCCAGGACATACGAGGGAATTGGCCAGGAGAGACCTCAGCTCTGGGCACCTGCTCTACGTCAGGCTCTCTGCTGAAGACTTTATGTGATGTGTCCATTATCCTCCCAACAAATTTGTGAGCCACAAGCAGACCCCATTTTATAGACGAGGAAACTGTGCTCTAGGAGCATGCCCCAGGCTCCAAAAGATAATGGACGGCAGAGCTGGGGAAGTTCAGGCTGCTTGGCCTGTTCCTCAGCCCCACCTTTCTCTTGCTGCCAGTCAGCCAGGCTCCAGCACACCTGGGTTCCTAACCACTTCCCGGGGAACACTTGTGGCCTCCTCTCCTGTCAGGGGACCAGCCCCTTGGCAAAGAGAAACCTATCCTTCAGAGACAACCTAGTCCCCAGCTTTGGGGCCTGGTACCCATCCTCAAGCCAAATCCATGGGAAAAGCAAGTCCCACTCACTCCCACTGCAACCACCACAGCCCCACGCGTCCCATTGCCACCCAGGACTCTGCCACTCACCCCAAACCGCCTACAGTCCCAGGTGGGGGGTGGGTGTCCAGTCAAGACAACATCTTTCACTTTTTTTCCATTTTTTTTATTAATCAAATGATACAAAACAACCATCATTCTTTAAATGCCCAAGCACCCAATTGGTCCTCTCCCTCCCCTGCTCTCTTCCCTGACCCTCGCCCAAGGAAAGAGGCCAGGGAGGAGGCTGGGCCAGAGCTGGAGGCGGGAAGGTGGAGCCCTGGACACACTACCATTTGGGGTGGGGATTAGGAAGGGTAGGTTCCCAGAGACCATTTTTAGCACCAAATATCCTGCCCCATTCCCAGCCCCCTTCTTCAAATCATTTCCAGTAGCCCACCTCCTCTCTGCCCTTCCCCCCAACCAAAGTACCTGGCCCTTACACCATCCTTATCCCTCCAGCACTCACCACATCCATCCCTGCTCCCCCCCCCCCCCCCCCCCGCCTCCCTCTGGCGGGGACTCCCGGGCTGGCAATGTTGGAGAGCCCTGGGAAGGGTCACCAAGGACTCGAGCCCTGCAGGGGTGAAGCAGGTGCAGACCGGGGAATCACATACTGGTGGTAGAGAGGAATTTTATTTCTAGGCCCCAACACCTCCCCCCAAGAATTCCAGGGAAAGGTTCTCAGCTGCCCCGGACAGGACTTTCCAGCTTCACACTCCTGGCTGCTTCTCCAATCAGCTCCCAGAAACTCCCAAACTCTAGTTTAGAGTCGTTACAGCTGCCCAAGTTGGCGATTTTCTCTTCCAGCCCACAGTTGCTCTAAGGGGAGGGAAGAGACCACAGCTCAGCAAGGCAGAACCTCCCTCTCTTAGCCTCACCCTGCCCTGGGGCGGGAAGCCAAACCCGGGCCTACTTGGCACAGGCAAGGGGAGGGGCTAGGGGTGGCAAGTGCCTGGGGCCGTGGCAGTGTGGGTGGGGTCGTGAGGACCTTGCTGGGGAAGTCGGGGTGCCTGGGGCAGGGCCCAGTCAGTACCGGCATGAGGTGGGGCAGCTGCTGGGTGACCAGGTCCTGAAGTTCAGAGGGGGTCAGCGTCTCCTTCCCACCCTCCACAGAGTACTGGTGGAAGTTCTTGATGAGGGTCTCGATGGCCCTCTCCACGTCGCTGAATTCCTGCGCATCCTGAGGGTGGGGGACATCACCACGTCAGGGAAGCTCCACCCACCCCAACAACACCCTACCTCCCCAAGCCCCCGTAGACCAGTGGGGCAGAAGGCAGCTGGAAGGCACAGGAGCTGCCCCCATTCCAGAGCCCAGCATCTAGCCCCCACCCCCTCTGGTCTCCGCCCTGAGCCCAGCAGGGCTCCCTCCCTGTCACCGGAGGCCCCCACGCAGGATGGGTCCTAGCGAGAGGCACAGACACCTCTTCCCAGGAGAGCTCCTTATGTGGACGCAGCACTGCATGTGCTGGACACCACTTAAGAGTCTGGCTCTTCTGGGCAAGGTCTAGGGTAAAAGGCGGGGCCAAGGCAAGGGGCAGAAGTCAGTGGGGACGCAGACCCTCAGGGTGAAAGATGGAGCACGGGAACAGAAAGGCCAGGCACGCACGGGCCCACCTCAGCACTGGCTGACCGACACTGTCCCATGGTGCCCGGTGTGCTTGTCCTGGCAAGAGCTGTGTCGTCCTATGGCTGGCGCCGGGGAAGCCGATGGCTCATGATCTGCCTGGAGAAGGAGGGAGACGGGGGGGGGGGGGGGGGGGGGG